TAGGAAAGGTGTCAGAATAATACTTAGAAGGGACCCTGGAGGGGACCCTATAACATTTCAGAGAAATGGCTGTCCAGTCTCTTCTTGAACACCTCAAGTGTTGGAGCACCCAGAACTTCTGAAGACAAGCAGTTCCATTGCTTAATTGTTCTCACTGTCAGGAAGTTTCTCCTTAGTTTTAGGTTGCTTCTCTCTTTGTTCAGTTTCCATCCATTGCTTCTTATTTTTCCTTCTGCTGTTTTGGAAAATACATTGCCCCCACTTCTTTCTGGCAGCCCCTTAAAAGCCTGTTGCCTATCACACTCTTGGGCAAAGCATGTGAGCCATTTCCTCCTTTCAGTGGTCCATGAAAGGACATCTATAGTATGTAGATGCAGATAATAAAGTCGAAAAAAGTGAACAACATTTTACAGCACTATAGATACGTTGAGGCTGGGGGTGACAAGAAGTGGCTGGGAGGGGAGGGGCTGGGCAAAGCACCCCTTGACATGAGTGATGTCGAGTTGGCCATGCCCACCCGGTCACATGACCACCCACCCACACCCACCCAATCACATGATCACCAGCCATGCCCACCAAGCCACGCGCACAAAACTGGTTGTTAAAAAAACTGAATCCCACCACTGACCTTACATATAGCTCTTGAAATGAAAATAGATGTATAACTAATAAATAAACCTTCCAAGTAATATTTTCTAGTATGTTTGAAATACAGACATATAAAATAACAACTTGTTAGTCTGATCACATTCAAATACTTAACCCTAACTAAGGATTAAGATTCTGTTTCACAGAAAAATATGAATGAATAATTAAATTGCAAAAAATAAACTTCTGGTGATAGTAATAAAAATAATAATTTAAGAAATTACTTCTTCCATATATACATACATACATGTCTACATGCATGCATGAATAAATACACACACACACACACACACACACACACTGTATGTACATATAAAGAAAAAAACAAGAAAGAATGTTTCAATACAGTAATATGACAAATCTCCCTAACCTATGACCTATTAAAAAGGCCATATTTTTGAAGATTTTCTAAAAAGCAGCAGGGTTGGGGTAAAATGGACCTCAGGGAAATGGTATTCCAGAGGATGAGAACAGTATAGAGAGCCTGCAGTGTTCCAAGATATCACTTATTATCTCTTGCTGCAAATGTTTAGTTGAAATCTATATCGTATCTTTGATATCCAATGCTACCTTATAGTATGCACTAAAATAATCTAGATCTTGGTCTCAGAAACCCCCTTTTTTCTCTCTCTATCTTCTTTTCCCTGCATCAGTTCTGCACTATGCACTTTTCCCTGCATCAGTTCTGCGCTGATTCACTGAGATATGAAGATCTGTCAAAGTGGGGTAGCCAATGGCTGAACTCTTTTTACAGCAATGGAACCAATTGGCTAGCCCTCCCAGTTGCATCTCCAGTTTCATTCATATTCAGACAGCAGTGTTGGGCATACACAAGTCTGAGAGTGAGATGGTAATACCTAAATTTGGTAAATAAATAAAATAATATTTTTATATCCAATATGGAACCTTCTTTTTATTTGTTAATCTTCTCTTTAAGGCCAAAAACTCTAGAGCAGTGGTTCTCAACCTGGGGGTCGTGACCCCTTTGGGGGTCGAACGGCCATTTCACAGGGGTCACCAAAGCCCTCTCTTGCCCCCGCCACACCTTCACTCACCCTCACTCTCTGCTCTGTTGGATCGCTGGCCGTTCGCTTACCCTGCCCACTCCCAATCTATTGCTGTCTCCTGAGTCCCAGCTGATGGCTAGAGAAAAAAAAAACTGTTTAAATTCTTGCCGCGGGGCTTCAAAGGGCTGCCCTACAGCCAGTGGTGGGATTCTGCTGGTTCTAGGGGGTTCGGCCGAGCCATTTGTTAAATTGCTGGCTGACCCCACCCCTTGCCCCACCCCTCCACACCACTATTTATTGCCAATAAATAGTGGTGGGCGAGGGGCAGGCGAGCCAGCAATTTAACAAATGGTTCGGTGTTTTTTTGTAATTTTATTGGCCCGCGGAACTTCAGCATAGGCTAATTAGCCCTTGATTAGATCGGCTCCTGACTCTCAGCTGATTTGCTCTCAGCTGTTTTGCTCAGGGCTCTGCTGCTTGCTAGAGCAGATTTTTTTCCCCTAGCTATCCTGAAAAATGAAATTGAAAGTAAAGCAGGCTGTTGGCTTTGCTGTTGCTGCAATGTTGAAAAATTAGGCAGGCAGATTTCTTTTCTTTTTCCTCACCAAAAAAGGTAGGTGCAAACAATGGGAAATTTAAGGCAAAAGAGGGTTCAAGATTTTAAAACACAAAAGAAAAAAAGCTCTATTTAAATAGGGAATTGTAATAATTGAGATACTATAATAATTGAGATACTATTAATTGTATATTGTGTTGAAAGCAGAATTGGTTAAGTTGTGGTTTGGAGGAATATATGGGGGAAATTATTTGGTTTATTATTATTGGTAAATATAATTAATTGATTTGTAAGGAATTGGATTGCATGGAAATAATTGGAATATTCATGTTCATATTGATTAATATACAAAAAAGGTAGTTATATAACTAATTGATTTATATTAAAATGTTGAATTTATATTAAACAACTGTAATATTACATAATTAACCAAAGTGAGGATGGATATAAAAATAGATGACAATGGGAAGGGGTATAATATAGAATAGAAGGGAAAAAATGAATTTGATTAAGATTAGAGATGAGGATGAAGGGTAATATTGGTTTTTTACAAAAATAGATGGGGAATAAATATGGCAAAAAGGAAATATAGAAATTGTAAATTTAATTGAAATGACTAAACACTGTTTAAATTTGTGAAGCGGCCAAATACTCTGTTCAAAGAAAATACATTGTATGTTTGTATGTGTGTTTCTAATTATTGTTATTTATTCATATTTGTTCTCTTTTATTCTTTAAAGTTTAACAATTCATTCTTTATCTTAATATCTTTATATTTGTTTGGGGTTGGCTTTCTTCCCTTTCATCTTTTTTATTGTACAGCAATCTTTCTCCTCAAACCTACACCTCTCTCTTTTCTTTCCTTCTTACTTTCTCTTCCTCCCCCCTCTTCTTCTCCTCCCTACTTCCTCTTCCTTTCTCCTTCTCCTTCTCTCATCCTCCCTCTCTTACCCTCCCTCCTACTCTAATTTCCCTTCCCTTCCTTCATCCCTCTCTATTGCTGTATCTTTTTATGCATATGGACTACTCAGAGGGCTGAAAAAGTTATTTTTGACTGGTCCTCGCACTTTTGACCAGTCCTCAAACTTACGACTGTACTCACATTTTACATTTTTGCCCTATCTTGTCACCATGTTGAAGAGAAGCAGTTGAGAAATGAGTGACATAGTTGTTAAGAATGCTACAATGGGCATAAATGATGACCAGTCATAAGTGCGAAGACCGGTCAAAAGTGCGAGGACCTGACAGAAATCACTTTTTTCAGTCCTCTGGGTAGTCCTTTTGTGCATATGGACTACTCAGAGAGCTGAAAATGTTACTTTTGACTGGTCCTCGCACTTTTGACCAGATCTCGAATTTACGACTATCCTCACATTTTACGTTTTTTGCCCTATCTTATCACCATGGTGAAAAGAAGCAGTTGTGAAATGAGTGACATGGTTGTTAAGAATGCTGCACGGGCATAAATGTGAGGATGGTCATAAGTGTGAGGACCAGTCAAAAGTACGAGGACCTGTCAGAAATGACTTTTTTCAGCCCTCTGAGTAGTCCCTATGCACATAGCCACGCCCACCCAGTCACATGACCAGCTAACCACATCCACCCAGTCACATGACCTCCAAGCCACGCCCACAAAATAAGCCACGCCCACAGAACCGCTAGTAAAAAAAATTAGAACCCACCCCTGGTTGGGGGTCACCACAACTTGAGGAACTGTATTAAAGGGTCGCGGCATTAGGAAGGTTGAGAACCACTGCTCTAGAGACTCATATTTGTTTTGTTTTCCCATGATCAAGCAGGTGTAATTGTCATGCAAGCTGTTAGGGGAATGTTAGAATATAGGGAAAACGTTCACACAGTAATGTTTATTACACTAGTCTCTTAAAGTAGTCCACCATGAAAAAATATGTTTTCAAAGGCTCAACAGTAAGTCACCTCCCAGTCATAAGTCTATTGTGAATGTGGCAGGATATAAGTGTAACTAATTAATCGAAGTCATTTTATATATATATTTGTAAAAAATAAAATAAAGGAGATGAATGAATGAATGAATGAATGAACGAACATATGTTTGTGTTTGTAAATAGGTATAAGGACAAGCACATACACACACACACACACACACACACACACACACACCCCACTCAGAAAATCTCTATATATATGTCTGTGTAAAATATGATTATGTGTACACCCACACATTCATATACACACATATACACACACATAATGCACATACGCACATACACACACATTAGTTGTTATGCCTCTCTCAGAAATACAACTAAAATATTTTGAATAATTTCAGCGGAAAGACATTATTTTCCCTAATGTTGAAGATCTTTTTTTTAAAAAAAAAATGCATGTTGATATTTAAGAACAATGGTTTAAAACACAAAAAGGTATTTTATAGAATAATCTAACAGGAAATACAACTATTTGTCATTTCATTTTAATTTGTAATTTTTATATACTATTGTTCCAATTTTGTTTGCTTACTTGTTTGCTTTTAATTAAGATTTGCATAGATTTGAGAATGAGAACACATTGAGACATTTTAAAAAAATAAATACTTTGAACAAAGCTTACTTTAAAAATGTGTTCAGGCTTGACATCAAATAATTATATCTTTTAATAGAAAATATTTAAGATCAAAGCAAAATTATCTACTTATAAGCATCATGTTTTTGACGAGGGCATTAATTTAGCTAATGTAGCTGTATATAGATTTACATATTTTCCTTTTTATTACGTTGCACATTATTTTAGGACTTGTTCCCATATCTATCATGGTCAGAAACCATACAAAGATAAAAGAATTTATCCTGATGGGGTTTCAAGAATTTTCTGAATTGCAGGTACTTTTCTTCCTGATCTTTTTAACGATTTACATTGTGACCATAATGGGGAACATCCTGGTTCTTCTGTTGATTGTCTTGGACTCACATCTTAAAAGTCCTATGTACTTTTTTCTGGGAAACTTGTCTTTTCTGGAGGCTTGCTACAGTTCCAGTATATTTCCAAAGATGATTTCAGCTCTGTTGACTGGAGACAGAACAATTTCCTTCAACAACTGTTTCACACAAATGTATTTTGTTGGTTCTTTTGTATGTGCAGAATGTTATTTACTCTGTGTGATGTCTTATGATAGATATTTAGCTATCTGTAAACCATTACATTATGCAACCATCATGAAAAGCTGGACAAGTATCCAACTAGTAGCCGTCTCTTGGATCAATGGATTTGTGGCTTTGACTGTTCTCCTCGTTTTGATGCTGCACTTAAACTTCTGTAGCTCCAATGAGATTGATCATTATTTCTGTGAATATTTTCCTATTCTAAGACTCTCCTGTAGTGATATTAGCATGATGCAAATTTTGAGTTTCATGGTGGCTTCCCTATTCACATTTCCTCCTTTTCTTCTGACACTTACATCTTATGTTTGTATTATTGTTGCCATCTTAAACATTCCCTCAACTACTGGGAGGCAAAAGACTTTTTCTACCTGTTCATCTCACTTGATTGTAGTTTTTGTTTTCTATGGATCTCTAATTATTGTATATATGACACCAAAGACTGTAATTAGAAGGGACATTCAAAAATTTCTCTCTCTGTCATACACAGTTTTGTCTCCGCTCATCAATCCATTTATATACAGTCTGAAAAATAAGGAAGTGAAAGATGCCCTAAGAAATAGTATCTGCAGGAATTTTTGTTTACTTTTCAAACAAGTCAGAAGAAAGTTTTTTATGTAGTCAAAAAAGGAGGATAAGCCACCATCAAAATGAATGTTCTTCCGAAAATGTTGTTTTTACTTCAATGCATACCAATTTGGCACAAAAAAGATTTCTTTACAAATTTGGACAGACTCATTTCAAAATTCATATGGCAAGGGAAACGACCGAGAATCAGATTCAAATTTTTACAAGATGCTAGAGAAAGAGGAGGATTTGGCGTACCAGACTGGACAAAGTATTATCAGGCAGGGGCATTAGTTTGGCTAAGTGAGTGGAATGAACTAGAAGGTCATGATTTACAGACAGGATGGCATGCTATTCTATGGGAGGAAAAACATTTAGTCCATCAGTACTTCCGGAGTCATTATATTAGGAGAGCACTATTGGATATTTGGAAAAAAACAAAAAGAAATAATTATATGGAAATTCCTAATTGGGTGTCAACATTAGAAATGTACACACATCCAAATTTGACAAAACAAGGGGGAGCTGTCACCTATAAAGATATTTTGAATGAGAAACGAGAATTAAAAACGAGAAATACTTTAAAAGAAGAAGGAATCGAATTGGAATGATGGGCATATTTCCAAATTCAATCTAAATTTAGCAAAGATAAAAAGGAATGTGGCATAAAGAAGGAATCATCAGAATTAGATAAAATTTTATTTAGCAGGGAAGGAAGACCATAAGTAAACTATATCAATATTTATTAGAACAAGATATGATTGAGGAACAGGTGAAAGAAACGATGATAATTTGGTGTAAATATTTTGGGCACCGTATCAATTTGGACAATTGGCAAAGTTTATGGGGAAAAAAAATTAAAAATTACACTAGCAACTTCCTACAAGGAAAGCCTCTATAAGATGTTCTATAGGTGACATCTCCCCCCCCCCCACAACATTAGCACGAATGAATAAGGGAAAATCCTCGATATGCTGGAAGTGTGAAGGGAATTGGGAATTACTACCACATGTGGGTGGGAATGCCCAAAGGCACAAAAATTTTGGAATTTACTAAAGAACTGGCTGGAAGAAATTTTGCTAACAGATATAGAGTCAAACCGGAATTTTTCTTATTGGGAATTATAGAAATAAAATATAAGAAAGATACAAATTATTTATTACTGTATATACTCACAGCTGCACGAATAGCCTTTGCTCAAAAATGAAAAGAGAAAGATATTCCAACTGAAGAGGAAATATTACAGAAAATCTTTAACTGCTCAAAAATGGACAGACTCACTTTGAAACTCAAGGATAAAAGCGAAACTAAGTACTACAAAATCTGGAAACAATTTTATGATTGGATAGATAACAAGAGGGTAACCAAGATAAATGCATAGTGTTAGAACAAAAATATAGCTATTATAGATAATGTATGTTTAAGAGATAAATAAATATACAGAAATAAGGGGAAAAGTATTGATATCATATATTATGCTTAAATAGTGAACAAAGCTTAAGAACTATATCTTTATATGAGTACTAATATTATTGTAAAGTGGTGGAAGATGTTTGGAACCAGTGATGTCATATCTATGTCCAATTTTTTTTTAAAATTTTGTTATTATTAATAAAAAAAACTTTTTTTAAAAAAAAAGGAAGATAAGTTGTGGGAAAGAAAGAGAATAGTGAGATTCCTTTAGTCAATATCAGATTACTTTCTTCCCAAACTGTTTATAAATAGAAATCTGCAAATGTTGTAATATATTATATCAAAACTAAAACTACTTTATTTCACTGCCATCTGTTAAAAAAAAATTATTTTGCGTTTGAGAGTTGATGCTCAGGATCATACTACTTGTTACAATAAATACCTTACATGAGATTTTCCATTTTTTTAATAAAAAGCTTTGAAAGATTATTAATCAACATTGAAATTATGCATTTGGAAAATAATAGGCTTTCTCTTCTTAATTTTGTTTTAGAAGACTTATTGTTCTTAATAGGATTATTTTGAATTATAAACCAAATATTTGAGATATTATAGGACTGTAGTTAAGTAGATTATGTAAAATTGGAAAAAAAATTCTTTAAGTCATCCAATAGATGGAAGATCTCAACCATTACATATTTGTAATAATGTAATATTAACATTTACATGTAACATTTACATTTTTGTAAATAATAATATTTTGTAATACTATTATTTACAAAAATGTAAATGTTTTCTATATTCAAAAAGCATTTCTTCAATGTTTCATTTTAGCACTTAGAAACTTATATGGAACATTCTATTCCTTAGAAAAAAAAGCTTCTAAGTTAGAAACAGAGACAGAAAACAGTCAACAGCTTGAGCTTATTTGAAGGTTCTAGCAGACGAGTATTGTTATTTTATATCCTTGACCAAAGTTTGATATACTCCAATCTGAGTGTGCAACTTCAGGAGAGATTCACATGAAGTGGTGATGGAGGAAGAGCAAATCCACCTAGCCAGCCAGTTCAGCCAATCAACCCTGGTGATCAGTGGAGTGACAGATGTTGCAGCCAGCTTGTCCACACATCCAGTTTGCTATACTGATAAAGGCAGTATATTAGAAATCAGAAGACTGTTAGTCCTCAAACCATAATATAGGTGGGTAATTCTGGGGTGGTCATTTCACTTAAAGCTAAACTATGAAATTACAAAAACAAAACAATAATCTATACACTAATAGGCTTTATATTAATGTAATAGATAATTGGGTGTAGTCTTCAACATGCAGTGGATTGTTATTGTTAAATCTATTAACAATAACAAAAAATTGTTATAAATTTTATATTAATAACAATATACACTGTACTACCAAGAGCCTTGGTAGTACAGTGGTCTAAAGCACCCTGTTATTAAGACCAGCTGCTTGCAATTACTGCAGGTTTGAATCTCGCCAGGCTCAAGGTTGACTCAGCCTTCCATCCTTTCTAAGGTAGGTAAATTGAGGACCCAGTTGTGGGGGCAATAAGCTGACTTTGTATAAATATACAAAAGGATGAAGGCTATTGCTTAGCGCATTGTAAGCTGCCCTGAGTCTCCGGAGATATAAATATATATTATATATATATATATATATATATATATATATATACACACACACACACACACACACACACACACATATATATATAATTGCATTAAATATTGTATATCCACTGTTAAGTCTATGGCTACATATATAATACATATGCTCTTATACTTCTCACTTCCTGGATTTTATTTCTTCATTTTATTTCTTTGTTTGTATATTTATGACCATAGTCATTATCATTAGTTCCAAAATTTGAAAATGATGAGCATCCACAAATCGATATCTGTACACACTCATTTAAATGCAGATTCCCTTATTTATACATTTCCTTTGCTATATGTAGTTCCCACCTTTTCATAAGGAGGTCAAGGCAACTTACTTCTAACCATCTTATATTTTATTTTCATGACAAAAGTTACTTAAGCTTCCTTATCTCAGTGTAGTCTTGAGTCTGGATTATAGCATTTTTGATATCAAGTTTATAACATTTTAGAACACTCATCAAGATACTCTAGAATGGTTATATTCAAACATAGTATGTTATAGCACCAAGATTAGCCAATTACTCAATTCTCTTAACAATGACAATCATAAAACCAAGCCTAAAATAATACCATAGTCTACAAAAATAAATAAATACAGCAAGTATATGTAATAATACTTTAAATCCTAAATGCACTGAGAAAAATATGTTTTAGCTGTTTCCAAAGGCTTGCAATGAGGATATCGTTGCAACCTCAAAGTATGAGCTACTCTAACCATCAATAGCCACCTTCTCCATTCCCTAAGTTGCTAATTATTTCCTTCAAATGGAAGAAGATTGCTCACAGCTAACACTGATTTCTGAAGGACTTAAATAGCACCTACAATTGTACTTAGAAACTGGCATGAGTCACATTGCTAAAATGCTGTTACAAACAGACTGACAAATTTGGCATCATCTACAATTACTAAGTTGTCTTCAAAGCATTGTTGTGGCCAAAATCTGGTTTACTTAATCCAAGCAAATAAGTTTGAAGGTACAACATACATTTGTTAATATGCATACAATACGCATTGGATTTCTAATGAACTGAGCAGCTCTGATCAAAAGCATTAGCATAGTTTTTATACCTTGGCTCACTATGCTGCAAAATAAAACTCATAAAAAAGACAAACACCATGGAAATTAAAGTGTGATTCTGAAATGTTTTAAATAAATCCAGCCGTGTAAAATTATTATTATTATTTAAGAATTCTATTCACAATCTGGAACTGGTAAAAACTTAACAGTTCAAGTTCTAACCAAGGACCTAAGAACTGTTAAAGTAATATCTGAATATATAAGCAATTCCGAGTAAGGTAGTTTTTTGCAAAGTCAGAATATTCAGGCCTGATAAATTCAAAATTTCCATGCATCTAGGCAACCCTTTGGGCATTGCTTCAAAGGCTCCTAATACTATTGGTACAGCATTAATTTCTTCCTCCACAATAACTTAATTTTGGTATTTTGGATTTTGGTATTTTGTTATTTTTTCTAGTTGTTTTTCTTCAATTTGTGCATCACCTGGTATTGCAATATCAATGAAGCAAACTTTTTTCTTTTCCACAATAGTAATGTCAGGTGTTTTATGGTCCAGATGACTGTTTGGATACAAAAGTCCTATGTGATCTTGACCTGTTCATTTTCAAGAACTTTGTCAATCTGATGTTCCCAATAATTTTTTCTGCATTTGAACCCAAACTTCTGGTAAAGCTTCCAATGTATGTTTTTTGCAACTGGATCATGACGTAGATAACCAGTTTTTAACATTTTGCTGATAAGGTGATCCACTGTTTCATTTTTCTTACTGCATAAGCAACATTTGTTATTGTTACTAACAAGTTGAATTTTTGCTTCTATGGAATTGGTCAGCAGGGCTTATTCTTGGGCAGTCAAAATGAAGCCTTCAGTTTCTTTCTTTAGCACCCCTGATCTCAACCATCTCCATGTTAGCTTTGTATCTATCTTTCTTTCAATGTCCTTCAGGTA